CCAATCACAACACACACTGGCCCAGCTAACCAATCACAGCACATTTCTTATTTCAGAAGGCGGGCCTTCATTTGATACAGGAACTATTCGAGCCGTTCATGCCAGACTGGGGAAGAGAGGTGTTGTAATAATGTAAACTATGTGAAAAATAATGTGTTTTTCGAAGAACCTACTATGAGAGCCTGTTCTAGTACACCCCCAAAACAAAATTAAGACTTTGTAAAAGAGCATAATAGGACCCCTTTAACAGAGAAGTCTTTGGGTATCAGCTGAGGTAAAATCTATTATGTTATCAGCCTGAGCGAGTCATCAGGCAATTCTCACCTTTGTACCAGTTGCACAATGCTTTGAGTGTTCATGAAAAAAACCTCTCGGTCAGCTTTCCTCTGAAGGGTAGCAGCATGGCTGTCAAGTATGTTTGCTATCTGGAAGTGTTGATTGAAAACTGATTAAAACGGTTTATGCCCCCACAACTTAAATTATGCACAGTATCTTTGCAAAGAGAATCTGTCAAGTAATATAAATTGGTATCAACTAAATTTGCTTATTTGAAGTTACACTTGACACTATGTAATATGGTCTAGAGATATGAGCACAATCTATGTTCCAGATAAGTATATTAATTTCATCACTCACCCTTTGGCTGGGGAACTGACAGAGCACAGAGGTAATGTTACTGGCATACTGTGCCATGACCTTTCGAATTGCCTTCTCCACAGTAACTGGTATACGCCCTGCCACACTGGTCATGATCTCCTGTAGTTCAAGAAGAGGAAGAGACGGATCCCGAAGAGACTTCATCAGCATGTCGAGCCACTTCTTCAGCTGCAACGGTAAATCGATAGTTAACAGACCAAACTGCACACGTTTTCATGCTACTTTGAGTCTGATCAGTGTTCTGACTTTTTGACTGAAGTATGGCTCCAGTAGACAGTATCCATCCATAATTTTCACCAGGTTCTCCAGAACACTGTGGAACACTTGGTGAAGCCTCTCCCCTACAACAGGTAAAGGCTCCTGGGATGGTAACGGCTCTGTATTCGGCTTTACCTGATGGAGTAGACTGAGAATTAATACTTCTCATCACAGATGGCAGTACGTCTATAAATGACACTGGTAAAAAGCCAAAACTGTGGCCCCAAAAATTATTTGAACACTAAAACATGCATGAATTACATTCAAGAATGCATGAATGCATTAGATATCAAACCAAATTATGCTACATCTTTTCACAGAACTGACTTCAATTTTCTTTTTTACTTTTAACAAGCTGATTTCAAGGTGATTTTTATCAAGTCAGTTCCTCACAGGAATAGTTCATCACATTAATTATGAACATGATACACTAACATCTGACAACCAGAAGGAATCAAAACACTCTTCATTGAGAACAGATTATCATATATATTATGTTGCTTGAAAAGTGTGCTTGGGCTATTTTTCTTTGCAATAATTGTCACTTAACAACTAATTGCCACTTCACAATAATTTTCTTATATACAGCAATCACATTCATACAGTACATTTTTAAGTGTAGTCAAACTGTCCCAATATATCTTTGGGCCAAACAGCTAAATGGGACTATGAAATTTTCAACATTTGCCCAACACTCTTAACACTAGCATTCTCTGTTCTATTTCGATCCTATCTACTTGTTTTATTTTTATTTATTATAAAAAAAACCTTGATACCTGCAAGTGCACAGCACTTACACATTATTATTCTTTTCTTGGTTTGATTGCTTCTATTGTCCTAATTTGTAAGTTGTTTTGGATAAAAACGTCTGCTAAATGACTAAATGTAAACAATACTAAACAGTAAGTGGATTTGATCATGTGCTTCATCTTGTGAGGAGAAATTATAGACGAATCACCGGATGAATACAGCTGGGGTCATCCAGGTCCATTCGGGCCACTACACACCCAGGCTCTAATACTGTTCCTGGTCTTTTTAAAAAGTGAATGCAACCTGAATGCTGGACATGCAGGGTCATCACCATCTTCATGACCTGTAAAAAGATGGCAAAAGCAAACAACCACTCTAATAAGCAATTTAAAACATCTCTGTCAGTGCCACATAAGGTCATATACAGTATATGAAAAAGTGCATTCTGTAAAGAGAAACTGCTACCTAGAAATTGTAAAATGCTCTGCTTCATCTTTACCTCAATTTCAGCATAAGGCTGGGTGGCCAGAACATGAGAACCATCAGCAATTACATATTGTAACAGCTTGCCAGCAGAGGGTGACCTGAGCACCGTAGGGTCTCGCTCTTTCTCAAACACACACGTTTTGTTGCCCACTGTGATGCGGTAGCTACACATCATATGACAAAAGACCAAATAAACATCAGCTGGTACATATGAAAGTACACTGTGGTATACAGCACAAAACCTCTTCTTCACTGTGCACCTGTCAATCTCCTCTTTCATGTAGGTTGTGTAGCTGCTGCCACCATAGGAAAGTAGTAGACCGCCATCACTGAGTCTATGGACATCAACTTCAATATCTGAATCATTCATTATGATAACATACGTGGTGGGAGACTGGCGAGCCACCTGTACCGCAGACACAAACACACACATTCACGTTTGTTAGTCATGAATCAAAAGATGATCAAAGGGATTCTAGTGTTTTTTATGTTACCTGTAGGCAGTATTTGACTCCATCATAGATTAGATCAACATTGACTGTGTTGACGAGACTAGCAGCAGGCAACACCTGACCCCTGAAACATCCAGAAATACATTCAAACACAGAATGCTGTAACATTATAGTGGTTTCTTTGGGTTTTCAATGCCTGAGATGCTGGAGTGCCCACGTAGTGGAAATACCTCTCCAGTGAATGCAGGAAGTCAGACATGCTCTCTCTAAAACTTGCATCAGCAACTTGTAGAGCACCGCATACCACACCTAACATGGTGTCTGGCCTCTCCACCTGAAAGAAACATACAATAAAACACGTCACTTTACTTTAAATGACTTCAAATTTATTTTGCATGAGAGGAGTTCCTAGAGAAACTCTGTCTTGATTTGGGACAGTTCTCTTCCCAGTTTTGGGTCTTACCTGCACTTTCTCTGCAATAAGGTGATCTAGCCAGCCAGTATCGATGTCATTGTTCCTAAAACTCTCCGTCTCTAGTAGCTTGATGAGATACTCCACTGTGGTCCTGAAATCTCCTCTGATTGACAGCTCCTTCATGGCTACCACCATGTTTCTGCAGGCCATAGGAACAAAGACTTTTTTTAAAGCCTTCAAGTCCAAAAGCCATTAGTGTCTTTAAAGCATTAAAGACTTCATTCAAGTATCTATTGCTAGTCTCCAGGAACTCACGAGATGGCCTCTTCTCGGTTCTCACCCCAGGAGAAACAATGTCCAAACTGAGAGTCTGCAAACTCGTGTAGGCCTCCGGTTGCTCCTACACTGAAGTAACCCCACACGTTTTTACTGCTGCGGAAGTTCAGCTCCTGAACTGTGCCTGAGCTTGGTTTAAAGCCCTTGCGAGGACAAAAATGTCAAATGAATCAGGCAATAAACTGCTAGAGTAGCCTTCAAAGACTACTGCATTAATACTAAGCTTTTAAAAATACATAACAGATACTGTAATTGACCAGGAGTAACAAAAATGATACTAGCTACTTAATTTAGACAAGCAATCTATTTGCATTATTAGAGAATTTTGGAAGATACTTGCATAAAAATAAGACTGAGCATACAAAAAACGAACGGTTTTGCAAGAAAGTCTCTTAAGCTCACCATGGATGCATTTATTTGGTCAAAAATAGCGTGAACAGTAATACTGTGAAATATTACAATTCAAAATAATTTTCCATTTTGAATGCAATTTATTCCTGTGATGGCTAAACTGATTTTTCCAGCAGCAGAAATTTAATATGCTGATTTTGCTTCTTAGAAAATATTTCTGTAACACTTTACTTATGTATAATGAATTAAAAAGGGTTAGTAGGGTATTATAATTATTCATAATGTGTGTTGTAATACATTATATCTTGTAAATAATTATAACTGAATTTAAAATGCATAGTGTAACAATGAATTTATAAGTATTATAATATATTTAATGTGGTTACAATTATTCATGAGATTGCACAATGCATTTTAAGGTGCATTACAAGGCATAAATAATGCATTACAACTACTTTTATAATGCATTATACATAAAGGCTTTACGTAAAGTGTTACCAGTTTTTCTTATTATTATCAATGTCGAAACCTGCTCACTTCATCTGGGTTCTCACTGGTGATGCGTGCAGCTATGACATGTCCCCGTGGACAGGGGATGCATTCTGGAGATTCAAAGTTAATAGGTGTGTCTCCCCATGGAGCTTCACCAAATAGGACACGGATATCCTTAATTCTGTAAAGAGGGATCCCCATCGCTATCTACAGAGAGAAGGTACCAGGAGTTTGCGATCAGCATTTGAGAATTAACAACAATAACAAAATATGAAATGAAATTAGGGAAATAAGAGTCGGTCCTGTTACTTTGCAGTGAGAATCTCAAAACTTCACTATGCAACTTACCTGTAGCTGTGCAGCAGGAAGGTTAACGTCCGCAATCATCTCAGTGCAGGGGTGTTCCACCTGTAGCCGTGGATTCAGCTCCAGGAAGTAGAAACTTCCATCCTCCGTGAACAGATACTCCACTGTACCAGCACTTACATAGCCCACCATTTTAGCCAGACGCACTGCATACTGACACACAGAGCAGAACATAAATTGTGCAAGCCAATATCAACACCATTGTGGAACAGTTCCCAAAAGCAAAGGCTGAAAAAAAATTTAAATGCACAAAAACATCATGAACTTTCATTAAAAACTCTTCAACACGAACCTGATCTAAATAGAGCACCTTGGTGTGCATCGCTCCGTGTTGTGCATGTCAAATAAAATCAACCATAATAAATAAATGTCATTTTTTTGTATCAGAATGTATATCTGAATGTTATCTGCAAGTATATGTCTGTGCACAAATTTGAAGGCTGTCCTTGGATCATTGATGAAATTATGCAACTGCGCATTACTTTACAGAGAACCTACAATCTAGTAGCTACATTCTGCCTTAAGAACAAATGGTGCAACCAAATAAAATACAGAGTTAGTTGCAAACCAGCTGTGTGAACTTTACAACCCAATTTAAGAGCTTATGAATGGCCAAAAGCAACATGGCCAGAAAATATTCATAGATTTGTGCCTCACCCTCTCCATTTGCTCAAAAGTGGTGGTGGAGACAATGGTAGCAGGAGCTTCTTCTATGATCTTTTGGTGGCGGCGCTGGATGGAACAGTCTCTGCCGAACAGAGAGATAGCGTTACCGTACTGGTCAGCCAGGATCTGCACCTCCAGGTGGCGCGCATGCTCGGCTAGCTGCATGATGAAAATAGGGGAACCTGGCACCTCAGCCTGCACCTGTATTGAAGAACAAACACACCGTGACGCTGTGTAATGAAACCGAACCTAGAACTACACAAAATAATGAAGTTACATCAAAGCACCATGTACCTGTCTGAAAAAGCTTGGAAAGTCTTCGGAACTGTCCACTTTTCTGATGCCTTTCCCTCCACCTCCCTCTGATGCTTTGATTACCACAGGGTAGCCAATCTTTTCTGCACTCTAACCACAAGAAAACACAAAATTAGCAGCAAACGAAATCAAAACTGTAAAGGCCCGTTCACACCAAGAACGATAACTATAAAGATAACGATATTAGCGTCCACACCAGCGAACGGTATCGTCTGTTTATTCTAAGCACACGTGCGTCTGCAGCTTTAAATTCTCAAGCTCGTTACAGCAGGATGGATTCTGATTGGCTGTCAATATTTTTATCGTTCATCAGCTGGAAAAAATCATTCTGAAAGTGATTCCAACGATATCGTTTCTCTGTGCCTTTATCGTTATAGATGTGGTGTGGACTCTGCTATTCTTTCATATTGAGAACGATTTTTAGAACTATATCTTTATCGTTATCTTTATAGTTATCATCCTTGGTGTGAATGGGCCTTAACACCGATGTCTGAATTCCACAACTGATTCTGTAGTGAAAGCTCACCGCTAGACCCTCGTCCACATCTTTAACACAGCCCTGCACATAAAGTTCAGGTGGAACACTGATCACACGGCCATGCCTTTGTTCTTCTTCTGCCCATTCAACCCTTAGAGCTGAAAAAAAAGACAAAGAAAGAGGGATGAAGACATCACAATGAGAGCTCTAGCAACAGCTCATGTCGTGAATGGGATCTCTCACCAATTCCACTCCAGGGCAGGGTGGGGATTTCTGCGCTCTGAGCAACGATGGAAGATGCCACCTTGTCTCCTAATGCCCACATGGCTTTACTGGATGGTCCTGAAAAAGACAACCACATCAACAGCCTTTGTCCTCAACTAGCAAGGCTAAGCTGTCTAAACAGGTCTTAGATAATGAGATGAAATACCTAGAAAAGATATCCCTGATTTATGAAGAAGCTCTGGTAGTTTGGGGTTCTCAGAAGCATGACCCCATCCAGCCCAAACCGCCTTATAAGACAACAAGACCATCATTAATAATGATGGAAAATACACATCTTTGAGACAGATATTGGACGGACTGTACCTGCACTGGAATCCTTTTGGCTATATCCACAATCATCTCAACATTGGCATAGTTGTTGTTATTTGGGCCACCGGGGACTGGCACATAGTGATCAGCCATTTTAATGTATTCTGGAGAAAGAAAGTGTGAAATTTAGATTAAAACTGAAAATGAATGCCTAGAACCAAAAAAAATAAATGTAATTAAATAACAAACTATGCATATACAAATAAAGTTGCGTTTCAGGTTGAACAGTAATTTTTATTTTCTGTTAACCTGCATTGGCTTTCAAGTCTTCAGGTGTGACCATCACCACAAAGCGAATGATTCTCTCATTACGGAACATTTCATAGGACCAGCGTCGAATTGAACGCATGCATTTAACTGCAGCAATGCCATTATTAGCAATCAGCACCTAAGATGAGAGAGATATATTAAACTCTTTTTTTACAGCTGAAAATGAAGTAAAACAACATACACATAAAGGCATGACTCAAACCTTGTCTATAATGCGGTTTCCTCCAAAGCGAGTGACAAACTCAGCTGGGGAGGCAACAGTGAAATCTCTGTGCACGTCCATCTTCCTGTGTTCTTTGCCCTTTTTCAGCAGGTGGGGGCCTGACATGCTAGGCCTACAGGCAAAAAACATCATTTTAATTATTTAAACATGCACAATACATTTCAAAAAGGAAGCTGCGTAGGGCTTCGATAACAAATAATGTAAAGTCTACATGAATGGGAATGTAACGTGGAAACTGCTGTAACAGAAAAGTTTTACGTAAGCCTTCATGAGAAACATCAATAAAGCAGCATTTTAGCCAATATAAGCACATTAAATGTTACAAAAACAAACATACGAGGTAAGAATCCATCAAATCAGCATGACTTCTTGAAGTCAACTTGATCCGTCCGTGTGAAACATGTTTCCTCTACTGATCTGGCCTCTGTACTCTCCACCTCTGTCAAAGTGTGCTATAATATAAATGCTCACAGAAGCAAATCAGCCAATCACAGCTTACTGCGTTATCATATATGCAAGAGACAGTACTGACTTACCCTTAACTTGCCCCTGAACTGTAGAACGAGTTTACACTTTAAGTTGCAGACTCGTGTCTTTATGCAAATGTGAATGTAATGCAATTACCCTTGTTTAAGACAAACAAGGGACATGCAGCTTACAACACTGTCAACTATTTGCCAAGGTGACAGCTTAAACTTGTGGATCACCTGCAGGATCACACTTCATTTTCTGCAGTCATCAGTGGAAACAACACTCTGAGATGCTGACTACTATCTTTTAAATGTGTCACTTGAAAAAACATCACCCATTACTCAAGGCAAAGCATGTTACTTTTGTAACACTGACTCGCACCATTCTATTCTATTAACACAATATCAATATTAATATTAACAATGTCTATTGGACAATATCATGATGACTAATAAATATTAACATTATTATTTTGTCTAAATAAATGAAAAATAAAACACTAAAATCATTTCAATTATTTTAAATCGTTTGAAATTTAGACATCAGAACATAAGTATACAATAAAAATGGATATTAATTTGCTGAAAAGATAACATTTAACAGTGTTATTAAATTACTGCTGTTTTTAAGTTTAATTTTAAGAGAGTGTTAAATGATGGCAAAAGTAATCTAAATAATATAGCTGCAAGCAGCGATACGGGGCTGTAGTGCAGTGCAGAGCAGGAGGATCAAAAACAGCAGAAATTGAATGAACATGAAAATAAGCTGGTTCAGACGTATAGCTGAGAACGAACTCAGAATGAACAGAAGTTCAGATAAAAATGAACACAGCATGGATAAAAACATTTCTAATCCAGGAGCAATAAAGATTTGCACATTGCGGATCTGGATAATAATAAAAGTAATCAAAACAGCACAACATAACACAATTTTATAAAGCTGCACCACGCGAGACTCGAACCCACAACATGTAAGGATCAGGTTCAGTGTCTTAGCAGAGTGCCCCACTCAGCTGACACACATTCAACAGGCTGCAGAGGAGAAGTTTAGGTGTGAGAATGAGCTCACAAAAGCATGACTTAGCATGTTAGACATTAGCATGCTAAGCTAACTTAATACTAAGTTAATATTATATTACAACTGTAATAATTACTTTTATTACAGTTAACCTGATCGCTGAAGAGCCACATTAGAAAGAATGGCAACTGGTTAGCATGCTAACCAATTAGCATGCTAAGCTAACTAGCATAAATCAACAAGCACAGGCACGGTCTACTTTGGAGAGGTATTTCTCGGGAACGGTAGTGCATATCAAAAATCTGTTCAGTCATTTCTGTGCGGCTTGGTCCAAAGATCATATGATCAGATTTTGGACAAAATTGGGCAAAATTTGTAGAAGTAGCAGCGAAAAAACTGTTTTTCATTTACTTCAATATGGCTGACAGGCACATTCATGGAAAATGACAAATGAGACATCGTCAGAATAGGCATAAACCAGGGAATGAAATTATATTAAAACTACATCATTTGGATAATGCTCTCAAAAGTTATGTGTTTTTGAAAAAAATCGTTATATCTCTGGAACACTAGGTGGCGCTGTTTTAAAACTTCTCAGGTACCTCCGGGACATGTCATTGATGATCCCTATTCATTTTTGTACAGATATGTCAAATGGTTTAAAAGATATAGCAATTTATGACAAATTTCAAAATGGCGGACACATGGTTCAGCTGATCCGGGCAAAACTGATATCCACAGATTTAGCATGACCCAAGAAATCCACAGACACCAATATCATGATTCTGACTAACTGTTCAAAAGTAATGAGCCAAAATAGCAATTTTTCATATCTCACGATCCATAGGTGGCGCTGTTCCCAACTTTGGCATGGACCCTCATACCATGCTGTTGATGAAGTGTATCAAGTTTCATTTTTGACTGATCAAAGTTTGGCCAAGATACAGCCTCTGAACCAATTTCGGGTCGACCTTGGTTAAGTTCACAGCATCATACGTTTTTTTTGACCGGTAGGTCAATTTTGTACTTTTCAAAATAGCCGCTACTGTAATGGGTGTAGACTTAATGTAAGATATTCAATGTGATCAGAATGAGGAGAGTAATCAGGTGTACTATGTTTAATTTTTCTAGAATTAGGGGTTCAAGAGTTTTTACCATTTCAATGCTGAATTTCTGAACTGGTAGTGGCACTACAGAGTTGGTCCTAGAGACCCCAAAGTTGGTCAGATCACTATTCATGGCCATCACTACAAGTGTGCCAAATTTCATCATTTTCCTATGTTCCATTCACAGGACTGCCATAGACTCCCATTGGACGAGAAGAAGAAGAAGAATCCGTACAGATACAATAGGGGCTACAGCCGCTTCGGGGCTAGGCCCCTAATAAAAATAGGGGATTTGGGCATGAACAAATACATTTTTCAATACATATACTGAATTAAAATAAAATAAATAAATAAATAAATAAAATAAACAAAAATGTTACCTATGTAATGTGTACCCCTAGCAGCATACAATCTTTTGCAATCTAATGCACTCCAAAACATATTTTCTTGAAAACTGCATGCTTAGTAAAAAATACCTATTTTTTGGAATTGTCTCATTTTGTGCAGAGAAAAAAAAAAAGATTTTATTATGCTTGTCTGAAAATCCTTTTAACGATTATGCTACGTTCTGAGACTTCATGTCTGTTTTCAATTATCCAGCGTCTTAACTGCCCACAAACAATGAGCAGCTGCATTTGCTTTTTCCGTTATCTGAAAACTGCATGTAGCATCAGGGAACCTTACAAACATTGCCATTATCCAGATCTCATTTGTTCTCTTACACATGTATTTGAACTCAGAGAGACACAGGCTAACATTATCAGGTTAAATTACGCAACACTTCATGCACAGTTTGAACAGTCTGCATTGTGCTGTGCATTTCAGCGAAACCCTGCAAAGTTCTTCATTCCAAAACTCTATTCCAACACTACTGTGCAATTAAGATAAACTCACAAGCTGCTGTGTTATGCTACACTGCTAAAAACAACTACAGAAACCAAACCCCTTTTTTTACTTCCAGTGTACTACTCTTGTCAAGAACATACTGTACGCTTCTAGAGGACAGAATGAACAAGGTGCATGTTTGGTCTGGTACCAACCTCTTGAGGCACTGAAACCAGTTGAGTTCTTGCCCTTCTTTGTCCATGGCGAAGTATCAGATGAAAATGCAGAAGAAAAACAACATCTAACACATTTTATGTTCCCTCCCTTTTCCTCTTTGCTCCCTCTCATGTCCCCTCCCCCATGTCAGTGAGGACCTCACTTCACCACCACATGTTTAAGAAAAACATGCTAAGAGCCTGGTAAGGATGTTCATTGCTTTTGGTTTCTCTACAGACAAATAAATGCAATTCCTTGCAAAATGCCTGTTAAACTACAAGTTTCGGAAGGTTTATTACCTATAATCTGTGCAAATATTTTTTGCAAATAAATTGCAAATCTAGCCATGTTGAAAGCATGCTAGAGAAAAGAGTTTTCATTTGTTGATTGCAGTTTGCCAAAGTGCTAAACATACAGTAAGTAACAGGTGATTGTTCACTACAACCAAAGACAGATCTGTCTCAACAAATGTCACCACAAGAAAAGATCTGTGTAGACAAATGTCACCAAAAGAATGACCTTACCTTTTGGCCTGTAAACCTTCACTTCCGTTATGGGAAAAACAAAATGCGTGTGTCCTGCTCTGTATTATCAACCTCTGTCCATTGGATCTGAGGGAGTCCACCCAAGTAGGTGACTTGTTGAAGAGGACAACAACGTTCCACAGATTACACACAAAGAGCCAGAGACCACATCAAAACATCTTGTCCCAACACACACCTAAATATATGTCTCTGGAAACAATCTGGGAGAATGTTTTTTTATGCTGAAACGCAATGAGAATGTCTCTGAAAGTCAACATCAGGAGCATTGCTTCCATTAATAGTACAGAAATGTGCGGCATGTCACTTTAACAGGTGACAAGCATGAGCAAGTCATGTGATCACTGAGAATGACCATATGGCTGTATTTATGGCCCATAACTCTGTCCTGTTTGACATTGGACACTTTCATGTGGTGCACAGCGTCCTCTACCGGTATTAGTAGCAAATCTCAAGACTAGACAGTGAAGTTAAATATTACATCAGCCATACTGAGGTACAGGAAGGAAAATCTGAACTAGTCTATTTGCATTACTTCACATTGCATTCAAGAACTGATGTAGCTCATATCTGAGTTCATGTCAAATATTTTTTTTTAATTTTTTTTTAAGAAACTTAAAGATTTAAGGTTAACATGTACTGCAAGTGGTTGCCATTTATTTTAATTTTTGCACTTTTGCTTTCTTAGTTTATTTAAATAATTATGCATTGTGACAAATATTCCGTAAAATGATTCCATATAACTATCAATTAATATTATAATGTAAATACATTTAGACGCAAACACATTTCAATTCAGTTAATTTTGGTATGTTATTGTAACATTGCTCATGAAAACTAGGTATGATAAAATCAGGTTTAACTTTACAGTAATTTCAATAGATTTCAAGAAACTATCCTTTCCTTTACAAAAAAAAAAATTCTCCCTTTTTCTTTCATGCACAGCTTTAAAACTTTAATGTCATGTCAACAGCACATT